GTGTGTGTGTGTGTGTGTGTGTGTGTGTGTGTGTGTGTGTGTGTTTCTTCTAATGAGTCGCACGTTTTGATGGATGAATCTCAGGAATTCATTTAGTAGTAGAATATTTGAATGTATTTACTTGGTGAGAATATACGATTTTTTTTGACCTGCGTTTTTCCTGCGGATCTTCCCCGTTTTATTTTTTATTTTTCTTCCCCCCTTTGCCGAATCCTCTTCTGTTGATGTTTCATTGTAACAAGGATCGTGGAGACGAGATGGGAGGAAGGAAGTAACTACAGAAAAACACCACCATTAATAAGGTGAAACTGATATAAGCTGTTGCTTCCTGTCTCTTATTTCTCTTCTCCATATGTTTTTCTCTTCCACAAGTCTTCTAGCCCTTTCTCTTTTTTTTAGTGATGCGGTTAAGGTTAGAATTATTTCACTCTTTCTTGTTGTCTACTACTATTGGTTCCTGCAAGTTTAATTTGTATATCCTTTAACAATTTTACAACAAAGACCAATCAAGTCTATAAAATGGAAAAACCTTTTGGCTTTTTGGACTGTCTGGATGGGACAGTTGGTTACACATTCAAGACGGATCCTTTTCAAACATCTCATATCACAGAAAAACAAAAATATAGTTTAAAATTCTACAATTTGCTTTATCTTACACTAGGTTATTTTGTACTACAGAAGTGTACTTTGGGATCTTTATAACCAGCTGAGACAGTTCCTTTTTTTTTCTTTGTGCACTGCTGAAGTCCATCTAACTGCATTCATCCAAGTTTTTGGGGCAATAGGCTTTTATGTTAATGTTAATTTTTAACTGCAGTGCAATATATGAACTGCCAGATGCAGATTTGCTTCTATCGTCTGGTTGCATTCTTTACTTGTGAAAAAAGAACGGACTGGCCTGCAAATTTGCTAGACTATCATACTAAACAAGAAAGAAAGAAGAGAACAGCAGTATGGCTGCAAGGAAGCTGCAAAAAATAATTAAGTCCAAAATATTCAAAGTATAGCAGCATTTTAGCAAAAACAAATCAAATAAATTAAAACGCAGATGGTGTCATTTCATAGCAGGGCAACAGCAATGGATGAACACCTGAAATACAAGCGTGCCACTGTAGCTTGGTAAGTTTCAAGCTAGTTTTCTTACAACACCAATTCCAATGAAGTTGGGACGTTGTGTAAAATATAAATAAAAACAGATTATGATGATTTGCAAAACATTTTCAACCTATATTCAATTGAATAGACTGCAAAGACAAGACATTAATGTTGAAACTGATAAACCTTACAGTAATTTTGCAAATATTTACTAATTCTGAATTTGAGCCACGCAACACGTTCCAAAAGAGTTGGGACAGGGGAAACAACAGACTGGGAAAGTTGAGGAATGTTCAAAAAAAAAAAAAGGAAAGTTGAGGAATGTTCAAAAAACACCTGTAGGATTCTACAGGTGAACAGTTTAATTGAAAACAGGTGAGTGTCATGATTGGGTATAAAGGTGCAGTTGTTTACAATAAGGGGGGGGGGGGTGAAGTTCACCAATTTATCAACAACCGTTTGAGTAAATAATCCAAAAGTTTCAATGTACAATTGCAAAGAATTTAGGGATTTCACCATATACAGTCCACAATAACAAAATATTTATAGAGTCTGGAGAAATCTCACATCTGTGAAGGCACCATTAATGCTGAAAGGTAAATGCAGGTTTTGGAGCAACATATGCTGCCATCCAAGTGACATCTTTTACAGGGAAATCTCTGCTTATTTCAGCAAGACAATGGCAAGCCACATTCTGCATGCATTAAAACAGAATAAATAAGAATGTAGGTACTAGATTGGCCTGCCTGCAGTCCAGAACTGTCTCCTATTGAAAATGTGTGGCACATTACGACGCAGAAAATATGACAATGGAGACCCTGATCTGTTGAGCAACTTAAGTAGTACATCAAGCAAGAATGGGAAAGAATTCCATCTACAAAGCATCAATGTTAAAAATACATCTAATCAAGCTATTAAGCACAAATTTTAATGTCATATATTTCATAATTCATTATTTTTATTTGCTATGGAAACGTGTTATGTTAAGGTAGAGAGACTGGCTAACAAGGTGACATTCACAGGTGTGCACTGGAGCTGGAACAGGAGGTGTGCCCGCAAGAAGCAAAGAAGGAGAGTGTGACCAAAATAATCATCACTAATTGATCAGTTAAAACAAAATTCATAAATAAATATAAAGATCATATTTTCACTTCTGCTTTCAACTTGCTTTCCCCCCAGTGGTTCTAGAGGTAAAAACCGGACTGTTTAAAAGTTTGAATGGTATGAATATTCAAATAACACTGAAATCCAACTAATAAAGATTTTTATTTTTATTTGTTTAGCTCTTGGCTTTTCTAACATTATTATTATTAAATTTTAATGTCAAAAAACAAGTCTTTCTCTAAATTCATGACAGCATGCAGCATGACAACATCAAACTTCACTGGTGAAAACTATCTGTGTCCATCACCATCTGGGATCTTTTAGTCTCTTTCATTTCCGTTTCTCTTCTCTAACATTCAGCATTGCAGCTTGTGTAACACCTGATGGTTCAAAGGTCAACAAAAACAATCATTACGCAGGTCAAATGCTGTGTGTCTCTTTTAAACAATTTCTTCTAACTCCAGGACACCAGCAGAGGCCTTTTTCCAAACCCTGCCCATCCATCATTCTTCCTCTGCTTTCCACAGGATGATTGTGATTACAACTGACTAACACAAGATGATGACAACATGTTGCATGACCTCTGGTATGATCCCAGTTGAAAACAAGGGTGCAAAGGAATTAAAATAAATACTTTTTTGCAATGTAGACAAATCACCAACATCTTCTGATTTGTTTGTGTTTTCACTGCAGGAATCCTTTTTTTTACATAAAATGGGAGTCATTTCTACACCCCTCTGTTTTTACTGCAGGAACCGACAGCACAAAAAAAGCTACCACAGAACCAAAGTATTCCTAAAAGCGACCCTTTTCAGAGGTATTACTTTTAAAACTACCAAGGCTTTTTCAGCTGATGAAGCGTTCCTAAAGACAATTCATTAGAAAATGAGCAAATAAAAACTGAGGCAGAGATTGGAGTTCTGTTGCAATTTTTTTTTTCAGGTTTCCTTGAAGTTCAGAGAAATTTTACACAACTATTTTTAAATGACCTTAATCAGAGGCACCAGTGCTTGTTTCCCTTTGTCTCACTAAAACACAAATGTTTATATTGCCATATTAAATCTAAAACATGATTCATTTTTTTACAATAAATGAAACGTTTTACTTTGGAAATTTTACTTTGGAAATTACAATTGCTGTAAAACAATCTGTCATGGTTGCTTCATTACACCTGTCCCAATATGGAAGCTGACATTTGATCAGCTTACAACACTTCAGCAGCAGAGTGTATATACTGTATTCAAAATAGAGTGGATGTGGGGATTCTGGGTTTTTTGCTGTCAGTAACTCCTTCCTTGCAGCTTCTGAGTGGCAGGGCGGAGCCAAGTGGCAGCAGCTGTTTCCTGTTTCCTAATGAGGTTCCTCCACTATTTAAGGCTGGTTGAAACCACAAGACTTTGCTGTGACGTTGTCCATTTTGTCGTATTGTGTCTGGCCATAGTGATTGTTGTGTGACTACCTGAGCAACTATCAACCTGTATCTCTTTGTGATTTCTCATACTTACCTTTGGTTTCTTGCCACTGTCCAGTCATCCTGCCACACTCAAATGACGGCACAAATCAACTGGTCTCCTTGTTCTGACAGCCTCTCTGGAATCATCTGGACTCCTACCTCCGAACGTGTAACAGAGTATTGAACAGGTTATCTATATATTCACGATATTCAAACGTACTGAACCTGTCTCCTCTTCTCCAGATTTATTCTGAGTACCTACTTGTAATCCTGTTGAACCCGACCGGCCCGGTACCGGGCCCTGCAGGGTGCGCTGTTGCMTTGTTGTTTGCTAAAGTATGTTTAAAACATTTTTTCCCAAATTCTTTCTTAGTCAATCACAAAATGTGTTTTTAATGTTTATAAAATAAGTCGCCGAATTATTTTTGGATAAATATTTATGATTTTAGAGCTATATAAAATGTTTGTAAGTCATACGAACCGTAGCGTACATTTCCGGSTTTCAGGAAGTTCTCATCTTGATGCCAAACAATCTTTGGTTTCACACCCCTCCATTTTGTTTCATTGGAAAGACGAAGCTCTCACGAATTCAGGGATGTATCTTGACCCATGTTACTCTTTGTTTGGAGACGTGTTGTACGTGCGTAACTGAGCAGTAGTCAATGCGTAAATCTCCGACGCTCAGTTAGTTTGCGAGGCGCGTTAGGCGAGGAGTTTGTTAGCGGTTTTAGAGTGAGTTTGTTTGAAAAGCAGTTAGATGGTTAGTCAGATATGAAGCAGAAGAAGAAGTTTACAGTTTTAGAAGCATTGGAGCTGATCCTTARCAACAGTGACGTTGAAGTMGAGTCCTCCAACAGCAGCGTGGATTTTGAAATGGAGGCAGGAGAATCGGCGCATGAATTTGTTTGTGGTAAGTTATGCAGTTTTGTTTGTTTTTGAGTTTGTCATGACAATGTTACATAAAATTAACTTTATTGATTCTCTTTACAACATTTTTTTGTTTGTTTGTTATTTAGTCATTTTTGTGATACATTTAGAAGTAATGTTGTGTCGTAGTTATTTATAAAATCAGGAGCGAATAATCCTCGTTCACTCGGCTCCCGTTCAAAATGTGCGAGTTTTTTCAGTAAACACACGTACAATATACACAGTGATGGAGGCACAATAGTGTAAGATACAAACATTATAGTATGTGGATTATATAGAAATAATATATACATAGTAAGTATAGTGAGTGTGTGTGTTACAGAGGTAAAAAGGGGAGGAAAAGCTTTTCCCCCCAGGGGAGGAGCCTGGGGGGAAAAGCTGGTTGTTGTTGTCACATAACACTGTAATACAAAAGGAACTTTATTGATTGTTTTTACAGCATTGTTTTTGTTATTTAGTCATTTTTGTGATACAGTTGGAAATAATTTATCTTGTACACAGAAGATTGAGCAATAACTAACCATATTTATAAATTTTTTACAGTCAGGAGGAAGCAGGCATCACTGAGAAGAGCCAGCCACCCAGCACTTCAGCTGAGCCAACTTCTTCCAGGTGAGAATTCATTTGGTTTACAGTTATGGTTACAAAGTAAACATGATGCATCATCACAATATTAGTGTTGTAATCCTATAAGCTTATTATAATTCAGTGTCAAATGTTACTCTCATTTTTCACATGTTGTTCAGATAAATAGTCTTCAACATATATCTTTCTGTTTCTGCAGTGATGAGGGGTCTGGTGATGAGGAAGAATATCGGCCACCTTCTCTTCAGCCACGTTCCTCCACAACTTCAGCCAAAAGACCAAGGAGCAGCTCATCCAAGTCGAGCAGTAGAGGGAAGAAAGGATCGAGGCGGGTGAGTCGGGCTACACCTCCCCTTGGTGATGATGAGGAGAGGTGGCACTCACGTAGCGAGCCACAGACTCCTACCTTTTCCCCACGACATCCACCAGGACCCCAAGTTGACCCTACAAAATCATGGTCGCCACTCAGCCTATTCAATATATAAATGTATTAAAAAAAATAAAATTCCACTAAAATGGAGCCAAAAGGATACAATTCATCTCCTTGTTTGTTCATTTCGGTGATTTCATAGTGTGCACAATGGTAGATTTTGATAATGCACAGTGTAAATGTCAAAAGAAAATGCTATGTCATATGCAAAATGAGTCCTAGAATGGAAATCAACACTTTTATTAGACCAGATTCTCTTTTTTGAAGTAAAAAACCCATTTGGCACAGTTTTGGGTAGATTTGGCTAAATTGTGCCAAAATGCCATTTCCGCCTGGCACACTGCTCACTAAAACCTTTGTGAAATGAATATACTTCAACTTATTCAGTCCTACTTTGCTACAATTATTCTTAAGATGTAGATGTATAAAATCTATGGTCATTCCTGGGTTTTCACAATAGTTTTCACTGTGTTTTGCACTTTTGATTTTTAAAAAAAATTAGGCGAGGCTAAAAAAATCAAAAAAATTCTTTATTTAATCACAAATAACTCAAACACAGTAAGAGRTAAAATAGTGGTTTCACTTAGGAAATTATCTTTAAGATCTTACCTTTACAGAGGTACCAAGAGTTAGCATTTAGACTTTATAACTGTGGAGCTATTCTTGCTTTATTTTGCTGTGTATTTTCAGGCGGAAATTACCTCTAAAACCCCTTAGGGCTTAACAGGATAAATCACTTTGTCTTTTGCATAGCAGCTAAATAAAGGTTACTCTTTAAAATCGAATCATTACAGCACACATAAGGTCCAAGAATAAACAGTAAAAAGTTTGCAAACCACCAATAAAAATGTCCTATTTAAAATGGAGAGGGCCCTCATGCACTCACATTCACACAGTCAAGATGAGTACTCACAAGACCCCAAAAACACAATTGCAGGCTGATTCAGACGCATCGAGAGAGTTGAAATTTCCGAAACCCCAAAATATTTGAGCGTGTTAAAATTTCATTGTTTCAACACATTGAGTTTGTTGCAATCTGACAGCTAGCTTAGCTTTAGGCTAAAGCTAAAGTTTAGCATATCTTAGCACCTCGTGTCTCTCGCCCCTCAAGTTTCGGTAACTCTGCTTCAGCTTAAAATCTTCCACGCATTTTTGGCCATGCAACAAGTCGCTTACATTTTTAACTTCTTCGGGGTCTGTCCGATGAGGATATTCTTGGTGCAGAAAACTCAGGTACCATCATTCTTCTGTGTTATTTCCTCGCTCCCTCATCTCCATTTTTTTTCTCTCCCCGCAGATTGCAAGAAAGTTGCAAGCACCTGCCCACTCATATTTTCAGCCAATCACCATCAACCACAGAACAAGACACATCAGCGCAACTCGTGTCAACGTCAAATATCCTTCCTGTTAACAATATTTCAATAATAATGTCACTATCTGAGACAAAACATATTTTACAATCACCAATATACAATAAGCCTACTACCTATCCTTTACTTTTCATCTACTTCAGTGACTTGACCCATCAACTTTGAAATCTACTTTCAAATAATATTGTTTAGAGATTCCTAAAATGCTGCTTATGTGCAGACACAAGGCTGAAATAATAAAAAAACAGAAAAAGGGGAAAAAATAACTTTGCATTTACACAAAATGCCTTTTCAGGACAGGGCCTAAATCTGATGGGTTCTCATGAACAGAAAGGAAGAAATGTGGTAGAAGCGTTGCAATAATCCAGATTGGCATCACAAAACTCATCCAGAAAGTTTTAGATACAAGCACCATTTTTTTTTCCTGAACGGTGTTGATTATAGGGGTGGACCCAGTTTGTTTAGCCAATGTTTCCATTTTGAGGCCCCTTACAAGAGTCTGTTCAGTTCCTGTAAAATGGTACTTTTGTAAAAAAATAAAATAAAATTGATTCTCATCGTGGTTCATGGCATGACGGCTGTAGTGACCAGTATTATTAAAAAGCACGTGCCCTTTTGCAGTTGTTGCCGCTTTAACCTTTACTAAAATCTTCAGACTTATTACTTTGCAGTCTTTCAGTTCAAGTATCTGAGCTCCAAACACAAAACTAATTAATTCAGAAAAAGATCATAATTAAAATGCTTTCAGCAGAAAAGATAAATCCAGTTATAAACAGGATACAAATGCATGTTTCAGAAAATGCAAGAATTACAGATGTTTCTAGTTTTCTTGTTTTGTTTTGAATGACTCCATGCTCTTCTGGCTCTGGGCATCCTTACCCACAGCCACCAGGGGTTACGTCCAAAGTTCTCTCTAAAGCTGCTTACTTCCTCATCAGTTTATACTTTTATTAAAGGCTCACTAGACATCAAGTCATGCCCTCAATCAATAATTATGCAAACACAGCTCTAATCGATATATGAAATAGAAACTAAAGACAAATGATATTATGGAAATGAAGCACATTTCATTTCCTCCCCAGTCAAAGAAAATACATTTGAGTTGGGGGGAGAAAAAATTTGAATATTAAAGGCTTCACTTGGCTTTTATGTGATGGGGTCCTGCATTTTAGTCGACACACAGTTCAATATTTGAAGAGTATTTACAGCCGGGGAGATAGAAAGGAAAGAGTTTCAACTCTAAAATTATTTTGCTCGGAGTGATAGTGGTAGTAATAAAGAAGTTATTGACCAAATGATATTGATCGACAGCTCCTCGGGCTAAACAAGCCGACCTTGGTCTCCCTCTGTGACTTGCCCTCCCTCCGTCTGACTACCCTCTAGTCTCCTCCCCCAGAATTCAATAAGATTTTTATTTTACCGTTTAAAGCCGAACAACAAATCGCTGCACAATGCAAGGTGAGGAATCTCTGGTAAAAAAAATTTTGGAGCATTTGCCTGTAGGAATTTGGCAAAGGAGTGCATGAGGGTGATTAAAACGAAGACTCCAGTTGAGGCTTGATTAGAGGTTGCCATTCAACAAGAAAACATGGCAGAGAAAGAATGAAACATGAAGGTTAGCCAGAAGAAAGGAGAAAAAACAGAGGCAATGTGCTCTTTTCCTCTGCCTGGCATAAATCAGATAATGACCTTGAAGTCTTTGCAGTGGAGGAGTAGCAGAAACTACACCCAAGCTTTGTCCTTTGATTTGCAAGGGCAGTGTGTGTGTGTGTGTGTGTGTGTGTGTGTGTGTGT